AGTTAAATTGCTCTGTAAGCGGTTTCCCTAAACCTGAAGTATTGTGGACTAAAGGTGGGGAGGATCTCGGCAAAGGGAACACACTCATTATTCATCAAGTGAGGTTTAAAGACTCTGGCCGATACACGTGCAGCGCTAAAAACCGCGAAGGAAGCAAGAAATCAACCTTTTGGATTAGAGTGACGGGAAGTATGTCTCTCATTTATATTTAAAAGAAATGTTCACGTGTATGATTCAAAAATAAAATTTTTCCATTCAGATTTTTTTTTCAGTTGCCACTTAAAAGATCCAATGAAATACGAGCCTACTTGATAAGGGGGCATCAGTATTTTTGTTTCTGCGGTTTTAGTTACTTTTTTGATTGGTTTTTCGGTTTTTGTGCCGAAAAGAATTTTGGTTTTTCGGTTTTGGTCTTCATTGCGGTTTGCAGATTTTCCATTTTATAGCATTTGGTTCTCACTTTTCGTAGAAATACTGACGGGTATTCGAATTTGGTTCTGATGTGGTTTCGGTTTTTCCTGTTTGGATTTCGGTTTCTCCTCGATCTGAGTGACAATTATGCGCTTCCACTAATCTCTAATGGGCGCAAAAACGTAACTTTGTATGTTCCATTTGTAACAACTGTATCGGATCAATTGGGATTTTGATAACTGGGTTTCGACTATCGTGTTCATGTATTGCCGGTTTTTACTGTCACACCTATGATCTGATGCGGCGAAAGAAGAAACGTTAGGAATTTTTTGCCGCGTATCTTGAATTTCAATCAGTCAAAAAATATCCGCCGCAAAAAGGTTTGTTCTGAGGTATTCTCCTTCTGAGGCAGAAAGCTCAGAGGTTTGTTATCAGATACAAACGGGAGAACGCCTAGTAAACTGCTTTATTAAACAACTGAGGCGAAACGAGACACAAGAATGGAAAAAAGTGGAATTTGGCTTGTGCAGGCGAAGCAAGATTTGATTAATATGAAGATTAAGTTCTTCCCTACTGGCACCCTATTTAACAATTATTCCATGAGCGCGCGTTGGATATGAGATGATAGATGACCAACGAGGCGCGTAGCGCCGAGTTGGCTATAATCATCTCATATCCAACAAGCGCGAGTGGAACAATTGTTTTATTAAAATCGTTAACTTAAATTATTAAATTTTATTAAATTTTTCACTCCCTTTTAATTTTAAGCTGACACGTACCCTTACCATATTTGTAGATTATGGTATATTGGGTGATATACCATAATGGCTAAGCCAATAAAAAGTCTTGAATGGCATTATCCAATGATCTAGTTTTTAATAATTGCATTTATACTCTTTTGATCTTCCAACTGTATGCAAATGAAGTTGTTATAAATATTTGCAGCGTCGAAAGTTGACGAATCTTGAATGTGTGCAGTTTGTCTGAGTTACATATGCGTTTACTATTATGCAGAGTTAAATGGTTATCATACTTGTGGATCTCTCAGTGATGTTACGGAGGGTTGACTTTTGAGATGAGAGCAGCCTTCCACTACCGCAAGAACATTAATTCTAAGTTATCAATACTATTTTATTCAAATACACGATACACGATAAGGTGGACCGCGAGGTTAACCCTATAAAGGTCCCCTATCCCCCAATTCCCTGTAGACAGGCCAGACCACATCACAGTAAGCTTGTGCGTGGGTTCTTTAACGCCCCTGCCTAACCAAATGAACTAGTTAATAAATGCAAGAGACGGGACCTACGGTTTATTCGTCCTTATCTGAGAAGACTCGAATGTCTATCTATTTCTTGATATTGTAGAAAGGTAGGATATGATCCTTAGTTATTTCAAGAGCTCGGTTATTTTAAGACCTTAAGTTGTTTTATCTCTAGATTAAGTGCTTTAAGTACGAGTCGGCCATACTATTCTTTGACTATTTTCCTCTTTAAACGGGCATCTCAGGTGGCCTTACAGCTTTTTGTAGTAAGATGAAAACGTACATAACAGCGTCTCTTTATGCAAATATTATGGTCTGCCTAAGTGTGATACTGCTTCACCGCAAAATATCTCGTTATTCATTCCCACTTTTTTGAACTTGCGTGAGCAAATGGAAGGTTACAGCTGGTTTTTCTTGAACATTGACTAGAGTTCATACCTGATCAAAATCTGAGTTTAAGTGGTTTTGTTGGCGACGTCCATAAACTATTAATAACGTTCGCAGGACCAAACTGAATCAAAACCCAAACTTGAAGGACTCACAATTAAGAGTAAAATAGATAATTTAACTAAATTACTGAGGCTTTTCAAACTTGATATACTTCGATAAATTATAAGCAAAATCTACAACATCGTTCCTTACCAAATTAATGAGACTAACCCAGCTAAATGTTAGCTTGAGCATTTAAAGTAATGATAGTGAAATGTCAAAATATAGACTGTACCTTTGTCGTACATATTGTATTTTGTTAAATGATGCCAATATATCATCAGCTATGGTTGTTTCTCAAATGCGGCTGTTTACAGCGTTGTACTTTTTTTAGTCGATGGTGGCTGGAGCGAGTGGAACTCATGGAGTATCTGTACCAAGCCAGTTCGTGGCATACAAACAAGGGGAAGAGAATGTACTAATCCAGAACCAGCATATGGTGGGAAACACTGCGATGGGACCAGAGCACTGCTGAGAGAATGTAGCAACACGTCCATTTGCCATGAAGGTAACATACGAGAATATGATTTTGTGATTTCGGTGGAAGAAAAGCCTTTGACAAAAACAAACTGAATAAATACACGAATAGAAATTCAAATAGCAATGAATTCGGAGAAAATTCTGGCTTTGAACCTAAATCACACACTTTATATTTACGCAAGTATGTAAAAAGGGCAAATCATGAAAAGTAAGGCTTGCATTATAAGTCCCACATCCTTGATGATTTCATCAAAACTGTGCATGCACAAAGCTCACCATGCACCTTTCGAGAGAAAAGAAGGTAAAAATTGTTCCATGTGCATAAAGTGTCAAGTTGCAGTTTATTCAAAGCTATAGAGTATGCTCGTCATAAAGTCTCTTCTCCTCTTCTATTCAATATAGCAATTATTCCAACGAATATTATGAGGCTCCTATATTTGTTACAAAAAATTTTCATGCCCGTTTAACTCAACCTCGATGACGTCATCATTTCTGATCGCTTAGAAAAGAGTTTTTCCCAAATTTTATGTACTTTGATGCTTCCTATGGCATACGAGGGAGAAGTCTAAGAACGTGAATTCATGATTAGCTTGATAATTCTCATCGGTAAACATCATTATGTTTGTAAATAGAAAAAGAAAAATGGTAAATTTTGAGCTCAGCATAGAAATCCAGAAAGTTGTTTTTCGTCTTGTCACGAGAGTGGGACAAGAAAAAATTCTGATTCCCCATGAGGAATCGAGCCTCAGACCTTTGTATTCCGCGCTCCAATGCTCTATCACTAGCCACAGAGACTCTAAGGTGAGTAAGGCCTGATGTGAAATCCATGTATAACACGTGTCCTGCCTGCCGGTCGGGCATTTGCTATTATTTTGATCGAGTTTTGCAGTCATTTATATCGATGTTGTTTCCATTATCATAAATACTACACAACAAAACAAACAAACAAACAAACTTAATTATTCTTCTTTAAATTTTTGAAGAATTTCCACTGCGTTTTAAAACAAAGAAGAACCCGTCTGTCGGTGGAATGGAAATCTACACGAACAGCAGCTGGCAAAAGCTTTGTACCAGTCAATGGGATGAAGCTGATTTCAATTCAACCTGCATGGCCATGGGCTACCATAAGAACGGTGTTTATGCCAATGAAACATGGTATGCAGAAAGAGAGAACGTCTCAGAAACATCTATCTACCAAAGCTGCACCATTCCAACAACATGTGAGAAAAACCTGGCAAAGAAACAGCAATTTTGCAAAGGTAATAATGAAATGTACTCATGTAATACCTTCATGATCCCATTTTCCAAATTTGGTACCAAGATAAACTTCAAGTACATTGACAGAGAGGTAAATTGCCTAAAAACAATGATTTTTCGTCGTTGACGATAGCTCAGGTACAAGAGAGGTATAAAAATTGAAAGACTTACCACAACTGGCAATAGTTTTCCAGTCTGGTTGGTCAATGTGTTGCGGACTCTCTCGACTGCGCGACTTGAGTCTTCAAACTATTGTCAATTAGTTCATTTTAACTGTTTTCTACAGTTCTATCTTTTTATTTATTTATTTTTTATTTATTTCATCTTTATTTAAACACGATCAATTCATCAGCCTATAAAATACATATCACATACGCTAAGATATTTCAAATTAAAACTACATACTATAACACTACAGCTGTTTTCCGTGAATGCCGTGCGTTAGACCTAAAGAATGTCATTGATCTTATGTTTAAATAACCCCAGAGACTCTGTGTTCCTTATATCGCGTGGTAGGCTGTTTCATAATGTGGCGCCATTGTAGCTAAAGCTTTTTCTGTAATAATTAGTGCCCGGTAGTGGAACATTAAGCTTATTTTCAGAGTCCCTGAGGTCATGAGCAGAGTCACGCCACGTAAAATTTGAATATAGATACCTTGGAGCTAGCCCTTGCCGACATCTAAACATCATGGTGGCTTTATGGATTTCCTGCTGGCGTGCAAGATTTTTGCACCCTAAAAACTCGAGTAGCTCAGTTGCATCAGCATCATAGTTAGAGAATGTCAACACACGGGCTGCTCTATTCTGCAATTTCTGCTGTTTGTCGCGTAGCGTTTTCCCACAACTACCCCAATCAATGTCAGAGTAATGAAAGTGAGGTTTTACTAAAGCTTGGTAGATGAGATGTAAGGTTGATGCTGGGATCAGGTGCCTAATTCGCTTTAGAGCCCCGTGACCAGAGGCGATCTTTTTCGTTAGTTTTTCGATGTGACTATGCCAATCGAGTTTATCGTCTATTATTACACCAAGCGATTTCGTAGCTGTAACCTGGCTCACTTGAGTATTGTTCATTCTAATTGTTGGTGAAGCTGTGAGAGTATTCAGTCTCTGCCTCGACCCTATTAGCATGAATTCGGTTTTAGTCATGTTCAACGTGAGTTTGTTCGCTTGTAGCCAGTTGAAGACGTTTTCTAGGTCTTCATTTAGACAAAACTGAACGTTCTCAAGATTGCTTCCCGCATATGTGAGGTGCGTGTCATCGGCATACATTCTCGGTTTACAATTTGATAAGCAATTTGGAAGATCGTTGATATATAATAAGAACAATAATGGACCGAGGATGGTCCCTTGAGGGACGCCGCAAGTCAACGAGTAGCTACTGGATAGCGACCCGTTGACAGAGCATTTTTGTGTTCGGTTTTCCAAATATGACTGAAACCATCTGAAAGATTTTCCATGTATACCATAATAGTTTAGTTTCGATAGAAGGATCTGATGATCAACAGTGTCAAAAGCTTTTTTCAAATCTAGAAAAATGACTCCATTGATTTTCTCGTTATCAATATTATATGCCCAAGAATCTGTCGCTTCCAACAAAGCTGTTACAGTTGAATGATTAGCACGAAACCCTGATTGGTTTTGACATAAAATATCGTGCTNTCCCAATTAGGGATTCAAAAGGTGAAAAAATGCCAATAGGAGAGTCAGGTGGTCTGTACCAAGTAACAATCACAAAAGATTTTGAATTTGGCTTATGGATTTCCAAGCAAAGATTTTCTAGTGTATCCATGTGTAGGTCATTTCGTACTGTAAAGTTGATTGAAGTTTTTACATAGAAGCATACCCCTCCGCCGCATTTTGTTAGTCTATCGCGGCGAACTATTTCGTATCCCGGAATATGAACTTCATGATCTCGAATGCTCTCGTTCAGTTTCGTTTCATTTATGGAAACAATATCGATATCATTGTTTGCTAATATGATTCTTAATTCGTCTATATGAGTAGTTAATTGATTAATATTGAGTGATGCTCTTTTAAAACGGCGCAAAGGAGGCAATATTGAGACAGATTTTTCGGCCTTTTAGTTGCTTAATTGATCCCGCACGGCATCCCGGACAGCACATTATCTCATTTTAGGTGCGATTTAAAATTATTATATAACTGCTCATTACCTTTAAAATTTAAGTGCAGTCCACCTTTGTTGAGTTCACTATCAGATATGTTCTCATGATGGATTAATTTCCATCCATTTTGATGGCAGATTCCTAGAGGATAACTATTAAATAACTGCTGAAATAAGAACCTGTGCTATCATGCATTTAGGGCTCATGAATGTTAAAGTCCTCAAAAGAAGAGTCAAATTAATGCTTTCAAACCCTTCATTTCCATTTCCAAAAAAAGTTAGGTTTCCCTTTCCTTTCCCATTTTTCTCTTTCGCGTGCGATAAGAAATTTTAAAATTTCTAAACTCCACTTACACTTGACAAAACGTCTCTTCCTCGATTAAAGAAGACTAATGCTCAAGAGGTTATAGTTTATCATTATGAATTCCCCTATTCCACTCGGAAATTTTAGCGTTTTTACGAAAATTACGAAAGCATGCTTTTAAAAGTTTTAAAATATTGCAATAATGAATTAGATCTCGTTTACTTTCAAGTCATTGTGCTGATGAACCTTACAAGGTGAAACACGCACTATTGCTTTGTAAAAGGGGATCGTCGACCATATCGCTTCAAGGTGACTAACAATATGCAATGTCAACGTCTTGATCCACAATGGAAAACAAATGAAAGCTGCAACGTCATATTTATTATTTTCCGAACCAACGAAACTTGTAGCCTGACGGAAATTACAAGTTAATACGTTGAAAATTCAAAAACGAAAATCTCAAAATTAGCATTAACTGCTAATTTACTTCGTGATTTACAGCCATTCGTAGTGTTGCATGAATTTGTCATTCCATAATTAGCGAATTCCACCCTCATTTATTTAACATTTTATAATTTCCTAAGTTCCTGTTCGCTTGAATGGTGCAAATGTGGAGTATGGAGGAAGAGTGGAAGTATTTTACAAAGGTAAATGGGCAAAGATTTGCAGGAAAGGATGGGATTTTGACGATGTCAAAGTTATTTGTCGTCAACTTGGCTTTGAGGAGGCTTTGGCGGAATTCATTAGTTCAGACGTAAAGGATGAGGGAATTCCTTTTGTAATGTCCGATGTCTCTTGCAAAGGAGATGAGCCAGAACTTGCATCTTGTGCTCGTGTTGATGGAAAGCTTAACATCTCACGTCAATGTTTATCAGATGGCAAGAGTTCTCAGGCGTTGTGTCAACCAAGTAAGTAGTTCATTGTAAAGCTCGAATCGTGATTCCGTTCTCTTGCGTTGTCTTTCTTTCACCCTTAGGCCTAGTAAAGAAGAAGCAGATAAAAATTCGGATCTATTGATGACCAGAAGCTCTTTTCTAAATAGTACCTGTTGAAGTACGGCTTGCGAAAAAGCATATATTTTTTCCCAAGATTTTACACTTAAGATAAAGATATTACTCAGACTGGGGATGATATAACTTAGTTTGGGGTAACATGACTAAGCTTAGTGGTGATTTTACTTGGTCTAAAGTAATATGAGTCAAGTGACTTAAGGTAGGTCTTAAATAACTTTTATGGGGGTATTAATGATTGTTTATTAGATTTCATATCTTGGTGAGGGGTTACCGTGGTCTTTAAAGGGCTTCACGACTTTTAAAATTTGGATGTAACATAAATTAACAACGGTTGACAAGACTTTGTGTGGAGTAATGTAACTTAGTCGAATAGAATGCCCGAAAAACCTAAAAATCTGTCAATTTAAGCATTTGTATAAGTATTATATATCCATCTTTTCTTTCTGTAGCTATAATGTTATTTAAAAGGAGATTTTTTTATAACATCCTCTAACTCAACCATTTCTTGCAGTGAACAAAAAAGTGTTGGACAAACAAGAACTCTTTTTTGATATTGGCAGCAATGGAGAGCTTCGATGCTCAATACATAATGAAACCAGTTATGCAGGATGGACCATTAATGGTCAAAGAGCAAACTCTACTTCTCAAAGAATCAGGACTAAAGAAACTGGTGAACTGTTCATTTACAAAGTGCAGTTGTCTGATGCAGGATTATACGAATGCTACAAATTGGAATATGTTCAATTCTACATTGTCTACGTTAATGGTAAGAAAACACATCTTTTCAGCTTACAGAGATACAGGCACAGGCTAAAAACGCTGGATAATGACTGGTAAGATGAGTAGACTACTGACCTTTCAACAGTACTGTTGTGATATTGGTGGTTTTTATCCCTTCTTTCAACAGCAAAATTTACTGAGAACACGCTAGACAACCAAACCTTGACTGCAGACACATCTGGCATTATAAGCTGCAGCGCCGAGGGAGAACCAAGCCCACAGATATCTTGGAGTAAAAAAGGAGGAAACTCTTTAGACCCCAGACGATTCACTCAAGTATCCAACGGCGGCTTACATATTAGCCCTGTTAAGCCTGAAGACAATGGGATATTCATTTGTACAATGAAACAAACAAAAGGAGCAAATAGAGTCACAAGCAATGATAAAAACATACTTGTGACAGTTATAAGTGAGTAACCAATAGGGGTAATGTAAAGAAAGTCAAGCAATTATATATCACTTGGTAAAAATTGATTGTTATCTAACCAATTCAAGTTCAAAGCATTCTCGCTGTCCATATTTGCAGCCATGTTAAGTGAAACCATACCTTAATTATATTGTTGAATTTAGGTGTTTGAAAAAGGTATCGTGTTACATAATTATAGTTGTCAAATCCCTAGGTTGACCGTCATAACACAAAGCAGTGGCCTTTGATGAGATTTATAGTTTCTTTATAACTGTTCATGTACTAAAAAGGCTTTGGCTGATTAGCTCGGTGCGTTCTCTTTCTGTATTAAGTGTGATCGTTTCGACTAAAACTAAGAATAAATTCATAAAAATAACTCCAACTATAACATTATGACAAATACTTCATGTGGTCTCTTTAAGCATTTCCATGCGTGTACTTATGTTACGGGAAGTAAAACTTAGAGAAACGATAAGCTTACTTATTGTGTGGTTTGTCCGTTTCTTTGTTTGTTTGTTTGTTAGTTTGTTTGTTTGTTTTTGCATTTTGTTGGGTTTAGGCGGAAAGGGTTAACATGGTTAATGTGAACCTGTGTTGAATTTGTTGGTCTTTTTACTTCAAGTTTCTCCCCAGATCACTAAGCCTCCGATAGACCAGTCTGTTACCGAAGGGCATTCAGTCAACTTCATTTGCCGAGCCTCAGGTGTGCCAACACCAACCCTAGTCTGGATTTTTAGTAATGGTGACTTCCCATCTGACATCAGTCAAACTGATCACGATGGAGAATCGTTGCTAGAATTGCCAAGTGTCACAAAAGAGATGAAAGGCACTTACAAGTGTGAAGCGAAAAACGAAGCAAAAACTACTAGTTCCTCTGCAACACTGCGTGTTTATGGTAAATTTAATGATAATGATAATGATGACTATGACTTTGACGATAACGATGACGAGAACAAAGGCGACGACAATATGGAGAAGGGGACGCATATGAAGATAAAGCCGTAGTGATTTACGAGACGAGAACAAAGGAAGAAAAAAATAAAAGTGACAGCGCCATCATGGTTAACTGATACGAATTAATGTAATTGCTGCGGTGATTATAGAGATGTACGCGGTTTTAAGAAATCGAGCAGGTAAATTTTTTGAAAATCAGATCCTTGGCGGGGAAACATCGCGTTTACAAACTTGTAATAGGTCTGGAATGATGTGACCTATTCGCTGGTTATATAATTTTCAACAAGACTGGCAGATATTCAGGTGCAAACAACTTTTGGTGAGCATAAGCCTGTTAAATTGCCAGCTTTTATAATTGCAGGTTGACGTGTGAATGCGGGTAGATATAAACCCTGACAAGTGAATAGGCGAGTGGTGTATTTCCTGTGAAGGAAGGAGCACAAAATCAAGACCAATGAAAATCAACTAGTATACGCTTGGCCGCTGATATTGCAGATTTATAACTTTTTTGGCTACTGCATGTAAAATATTTTGAGAAAAATGGGCATTCTAGGCGATGTGTTGTTGAATAATTCCCGAGACGAAGCCTTCCGCGCGTAATTTTTAGAAACTCGATGACAGGCAGCTGAAAAAGCAAGACGCAAATCTATCAATTATTTATGCGACGCACAATTGAGAATCTCAACTATGAGCCTGGGGATGAATAGGTCGGGATACACAACCGATCTGTGGAGTCCTTTTGATACGATCACCAAGAGATTAAATTAAAACTTCAATGTATTGGAACCGTAGAGACCTTTTTTATATTCTTAGTTGCAATTTTGGGCGCTTGCGACAGTAACCAGTCATTTATAAATATGGGGCCCACATTTTTTTCTGAGGCCTTTTTCAAACATTTTTAGCCCAAGCAACATGGTGTAAATGTTCCTTTTATGAGGTAAAATTTACCTTGTTTTCTTTTTGTTGATCTAATTTTGTTTTACTTTGGAGAGTTGTAAATGTGAGTTGGATTTTTTTCAATCAATTGCCCCTTATTTACAACGTAGGAAAATCCTCTGCTCAAGTTGCTCCAGATCCATATCCAACACTCACAACAGGAGATGTCCTCACATTGACCTGCCAGGTCAACGAAGACACNGTGTGCAAGGACTGCTGTTGGGTAACGAGTCCCATAATGCAGAGAACTACATGCTATGAGACCCTAACCCGCGTCAGGTAAGTATGACTCTGATGATGACTTCCGCACAGGTTGTCGAAACGTCAGTCACTGCCACCGACAACAGTCCTTCTCAGGACTACACTCACCCGGACGATCAGACTACACCTTCACATGTTACCCCCGGGTTCAAACCATTTACTGCACTGGGAACGATGTTACAACGATTTTGATTGAACGTTCGAATTGAATGTTTGGATTGAATGTTCGAATTGAATAGTCGAATGTTTGAATTAAATGTTGGAATTGAATATTTGGATTGAATGTCGGAATTGAATGTTTAGATGGAACGTTTGAATTGAATGTTTGAATTGAAAAATCCAATGTTTGGATCGAATGTTCGAGTTGAATGTTCAAATTGAATAATCGAATGTTTGAATGGACTGTCGAATTGAAAGTCGAATGTCCGAAATGAAAGTTGGAATTGAATAACCGCTTGTTTAAATTGCATGTCCAAATGTTGCAAGTGGATTTTGCATGCCTGCTTTGTGTATCTTAAACGCCTGACATGAATGTTGTAGTGGAGGGTTGAATGTTTCAATTGAATATTTGAATGTTGTTTGGCGGTGATGGAACGCCATACAGCCGAGAGCAACTTTAGTTTCTTGAGTGCTCTCCAAACTTCCCAAGTGCTTCATTTCTCGATGAACGCAGCTGACGTATAAACCAATTGTTTAATAACATTTTCAACCCGATGGTTTAAATGTTGTAAGAGGGTTAATATTCCCTCTGCTACGCTTCAGGGCGTAGATAAATTTGTCTCAGGAAAACATTTTGTTACGCTGTAAACGATCTTGTCTTAGATTGGGCAAAAAACTGACAAGTGAATTCATGCGCGTAGATGAACTTTGTTTTCTGATTGAATACAAAATTCTCTTACGCAAAAGAAAAACAAAGATGCTGTTTCATTGGCCAATTTACAACAGGCCACATCTTAGCTTCGTGTGACACAAAATTCGACTTACAAACAAATCTAGGAAGGCATCGCAAGGTTCCTAAACATTTTCTCACAATCAAAACCAAAGAATATTTCAAACATACTTTTATAATATAAATATTTGAAAACATTTAAGCTGAAAAACATGCTAGAGTCAAGTCAATGTCCGTTGCTGGACTGTAAACCAAAGTTGATGTGGACATGTGCTTTTTGTATCGTGCAGCTGTTGAAGAGCGAGCCAAGATAGCTGCTTGATGTTGTTGCCGCTGTCATCTCGATCTTCTCTTGAATTTAAGTGCGAGTGTTAATAGCAGTGCCAGAAGAATGAGTGCTTTCGGCTGTCAGACTTCTTGAAAAAACTTCACTGCAGTGTTGTGGTTGTGAAGTGGAAGGCTGCGTGTTGTAGTGCGCCAGACTCTGCTGACTACGGCGACCAGATATTGCCATAATATGATGATTTTGGATTCCGGCATTTGACCACAACGTGATCGCAGTGGCCCTAACGCTGTGGTTGGTGTACATTTTCGACAGTTTTGCAGCCTCAATGATGCTTTTCATCATGTTGTTGAGCTTGTTGACACCGATCGGTCGAGCATCGTACCAAACGTCATCATCGTAATTCCACTGCTTCTTTGGATATTGAAAAAATGCATCGCTTTTAGGATTCAACCTCGAGATATATAGCTCCATGGCTTTGTAACCGTCGTTTCCATCAGAGGATTCGTACATCCGTGCCAATTTTTAATTGCTTGGGACATCGCTTACACCTCCTGGATGATTTTTAGTTACCTCATCATGCGCCATTGGGACGAACCTTCCTCCAGAGGCATCCGCTTCAAATGTGAAACTAGATCTTTTGAGCTCCCTTTGCCCTTCTCTTACTCTCCGACAAAAAAAAACAGGACAACATGAAACCACACATTTCGAAGCAAGGAAACAGGGTTAGTGACTGCGATGGTTTGAGAAGCTTTAAGTTTCGCCAAATCTTCATTTTCCATCGCTGGTTTGTGCTTTTCATTTTTTCCTTGACGATTCGAGGTGATGATCTGGGTGTGCAGCATCTCATTTCATCTTTTGAAACGAGGGTCTGAGCCCAGTTTAAGGCCATGGTTCAAAGGAGGCGCATTGAGGTACCTTTCGAAAGAATTCCGGAAACCAAGAAGAGTGGATTTACTCATTGTACGGTTCACCAGATCTGTTTCCTGCTTCGGCATAAAATCTTCGTAAGTTTCTGTCCAGTTGTCCCACAATCATTATCTCGATTGTTGTTTCAATTCTTTTTCTCGTTGCACCAAGCTTGAATAAAGACAAAAACATTGCGGGTTAATTTTTTAAAATATGCATTTATTTTCTAATATAATACATTGTATGTTTAAAATTATATAAGTCGAAAACCGTGACAGTTTAAGAGGCTGTCTCTCTTATTTCCACCCGGTCATTTTCGCGTCAAAAATAATTTTGCCTGAAACTCTGTCAACAGAACGACTTTACTTAGGAAAGAACGAAATTAGATTTGGTTTGTTTCGAAATAATTTTCTGACTGCGTTAGGGGCCATAATTCTTTCCCAGTCTCTTGGGACCGTCGCAAGGTCTCGAAAATTGAAAAATAGGCATATTTTGTAACCTTGTAAAATATTTGATTCGCATAGTTAAGCCACCAAATTTATATCACATTGCTTAAAAACCTTTCTAGTTTGCCAAGAAAGTTAGAATTTTCCCTCTCATATATCTGAAAAGGCGAATTTTAGCATATTCTGACCCCTATAAATCTTCATCTGCCGATGACCGAAAATAACCTTGATTTAGACGTTAAGTTTTGGGATTTGGGACCTGGTTGACTACTCTATCCTACACAGCCGTTAAGTTTAGACCTTTATAGGCCAAAAAAATGCAGAAACCCCTGTACGTTATCGATTTTTCAAAAGTTATGACCGTTTGAATCAGCACATGTACGAACATTCGCGATTTTTTCACCTACACTAAAATGGAGCCACTGGGGCAGATTTCGTCATAAATACAGCTTACCTTCGGCGCACCTTGGCTTTATGTGAGATTCCAGATGTTCCTCGCTCCCCAAACTGGTGAGCTTAATGATAACTCCAGCAAATAACTCCAAACTTCAGCGGTCGGCGTGTATCGACACTCTTCTTTAACTGGTTGTTGCGAACTAAACTCGAAAACTAAAGCCATGTTTCGCACTTAATGTCCAGTTAAAACTTTGGATCGCTGCTGCAATCTCTTCCAAAATCAGTCATAGAACTCCACAAGTCTATATGTCGAAGTCTGGGGGCTAAAAATTTGGAATTTAAGGCTGAACGATTGCACTATCGAGCACAGCCGTGGTTCTGTTTTCGCAGAGGTCCGGCTTGACCATTGCGTGTGAACCCGCTGGCCCTTTTTTTTTTCTGGAAGGCCTGCAAGTGTAGTATGGCATGCAAGTGCTTTTTCGAAACCAGAAAGGCTCCAGTCTGTAGCGAGTCTTCAGCGAGGTTGATAAAGCTCTCAGAATGTAGAGTTGACATCAATGATCATCTACAAGCATGTCACTTAGAAGAAAGGTACAAGAATATGAGCTTATCGTTAACAGGTCAGGGTTGCAACACGACCTTCCTCCTATCAACTTGAAGAACTTTGAATCTGCGAAAAGCATAGAGGAAACATGGGTCAAAACTGGCGACGACGTCGCACTTGCCAGTACCCGCTGCACAACGGCCGGAAAAAGCAATTAAATACTAGAAATGCAGTTCATCTCGACATGTCAAGGGAAATTAATGCCATCTTTTCAGAACTCGTTCCAACAGTTTCCCGTAAGTATGATTATGTAAATTATAGCTTACCAATAAGGTATTGTCCTGAAATGTGGACCGCGGTTTAAATTAAGAAAATATCTACACATACATTGAGGTGCGGTAAAGGTCAGAACTCAGTATTTTGGATTTGATTAACATCTGGGCCAAAGCTCGCATGCAAGTGAATCTAAAACAAAACAGCTGCTGTGATTTCGTCGCAAGATACGTACCGTCATTCCACATGGAGGCCATGTGGCAGCTAGTGCATTTTGATAACTTAAATCTCACTTCGACTTGTAACAATGCTTTGAAGCAAACTTGAAATCTACAACCAAAGTTTCCAACACTACAAAATTGTGACGTTAGTCAATTATGCTTATAATCGGGAAACAGCAGCTGTACTGAAAAATGCGTAAAATATTGGGTTTTTCTGCCCTACCTTACCTCTCAACATCTACATGTTTACAAAAGCATTTTTTACGTCATACACGCAAGGCGAGATACCAGATAAATAAACTTGGAGAGTTATTTGACACCAATGTTTACGCTGTTGCAAGATAATATTCCTTCTGTTTTTG